GAATACAAAATTTTAACCCATGCAATTTGTTGATTGACCAATTAAAATCGCGAATTTGATAACGTAGAAATAAATATTAGTCGCAGGACATTGCAGATCAAGTGTCATTCAATATAAACGTTACACGAAAAAATTTATTGTCGTTCACTTCAAAAAAAAAATTCTCCATTTCTCATATAACAACCGATTTTCAACCATAATAAAATTTTTAGAGCCAGACTAGAACTTTCTAACAACAGTTAAAAGAAAAGGTTAGCTTAAATATTGGTTATTCTATGCCAGGCTCGAAGTGTTTCTTTTCTTCACACTTATTTTAAGATTTTCTTCCAACTAGTATGCAGACTAAAACAAATTTAGTGGCAACAGTTGCGCCAAAGTGTTCCCCACAAAGTCGCTTATAAGTACTTGAAAGGTTGTGTTAGAAAAATTTTGACTTTAATTATAAGTGACTGATTTATAATTATTTATAGGTTATTAATTTATTTATAATATTAATTGATGAAATGAAACTATCATAGCAACACTATAATAAAAATGCTTAAAAGTTAAGTAGCTTATTACTATTACTATCATGAATATAATAAACAAACCTTGGTTTTTTACAAGTATAATCTGTAATATTATTTATTAATAAAATTGTTACGCGATCAAAATTAGATTTTATATATATATAGCAAATGAACCTTTGTTTTTTACAAATATAATCTTTATTTATTAACTGCTAACAACAGTTAAAAGAAAAGGTTAGCTTAAATATTGGTTATTCTACACCAGGTTCAAAGCATTTCTTTTCTTCACACTTATTTTAAGATTTTCTTCCAATTAGTATTAGTATGCAGACTAAAACAAATTCAGTGGCAACAGTCATGCCAAAGTGTTCCCTACAAAGTCGCTTATAACTACTTGGAAGGTTGTGTTAGAAAAATTTTGACTTTAATTATAAGGACTGCAAATAACTTTAACGTAAATATAAATTTATATTAAATATTTTAAGATATGTATGTATTAAGGAAAAAAAATATATATTTATATAATAATAATAAAATAATTAATTCCAATAATAATTTTAATATTTTAAGATATGTATGTATTAAGGAAAAAAAAATATATTTATATAATAATAATAAAATAATTATAACTCCATTTCTGTTTGATTTTTTTTTGATTTTCTTCGATTAGGTCCAAGATTGTGTCTCCAATATTCTTTCACTTTTCTTGCATTCCAATGATTTGGATTAAGCAAGAGTAATGAGTTCAATACAGGGTCAATTTTATCCATTGATGGCATCTCATTAAATGAAGCAAGGTTTTCAAGAATTTTTTTTTCATCCTGAGATGGTCTATATCTTGTATTTTTTGTTGGTAGAGGTTGTTCAAGATCTGTTGAAGGAGGAGGTATGTTGGAGGAGGATTCAATAGTTGTATTTACTATTTCAATGTCAATTATCATAGGATTAATTTTTTTTGGTTGTTTGGCTTTTTTTAAATTCTTTTTCTTTTCATTTATTTCTTTATTTAGGTCATTCCATTTGTACAAAGAAATGTCCTTCATACCAGTTCCTTTAATTGTTACATTTTGAAGTACTTCTCCATTTAACATAGTATAAAGCCGTTGAATTCCTTTATTATAACAGGTAAATATATTATTTAATCCTTCATCATTAAATTCCTTAACATCTTTAAACAAGGAATTTTCCAATGGAATTGTGCCATTAAATGTATTGTAGAGATCATCTATAAGTAACCAGAGACTCTCTTTACGACTATTAATTACTTTTTCACTTCTGGTATTAGATACATTGTCACCCAAAAACTCCAAAAAAAACACATTAATTCTTTCCTTCCTTGATTGCATTGATTTAATCTCCTTCATAAGATTTTCTTGTGAGGTAGGATTTTGACTTATATTCTGCTTAATGTATTTTATTCCATGTATTTCCATAGCTTCATCGAAGGCATAGTAGTGCCCTTCTCTTGACAAATTCACAGAACATACTCTTGACAAGAGATTCACTTGATCAGGATTTTTACAGAGGTAGGCAAGGAAATTAACAGTTGCTCTATAATAATTATATTTGCCAGTTACTGGAAATAATGGAGCAAAAGCTATTAAATTCTCTATCTGCATGTTGAAATTGCCTGTCC